GCTTACAACTTACTGGTCTCATCTCAACAATGTCTAGGGGCTGTGTATCTGTAGTGAGCAAAAAAGACAAGGCCAAGGGCATGGGAGTGGGGTGGGGGAGCCAGAAAGACCAGAAGTGAGGATTCAGCCTGCCATTGTTAGTTAGCTTTGGAGATTCTGTCACAGAGGCAAAAGCCAAACTCAAATTCCATTTCTCCATCTCTGTTGTCACAATGAAGTAGACAGTGACCTCTCTAGGCAAAGGCACATTACGGCACCCAGTTGCTGGAAGGTAGCGTTCTGGGCCCCCACCCCCCCACCCCCTATCAGTTGCCAAAAAGTGGCCAGGTGGGAATGTGGAATGCGAGTTGGGTGGCCTAGGCGGCGCCATCTGAATGGATAGTAGGAACTCCACAAGACATTATTCTAAATAACAATTCAGAAGGGACAATGACAGGATGGCATAATTTCTGCACAATTAGAAAGGGATTGCCTACCTTTCACAAGTTGATGTCTTCTGCCTGACCTTTTGTATATCTGATTAATGCCTATTTTGTGTATAACCCAGGGTTATACCCAGGTTTTCCCCTTCCTTGGTATCTGAACTTCTTTCTGGCACTATCCTGGTTGGGTCGCTAGCAATAAACTTTATCCTCTCTGAAAAGTGGTCTTGATTGTGCTGGTCTGCATTGCTGTGACAACAAAACAGGTTACTGTGGCACTTTGGACAAACCCCACCCACCAAGAAACAATATAAATTCAGCCAGGTGCCTGTCCCTGCATTGGGTTCAGTTCCAATTCTTCCCTGTGGGTTACTGTAGACCCATGGGTGGAAGGCTCAGTCCCCAGCACGCCCCTCCCTACCCCCACCCCCAGATGCCAGTGAAAAGTGCTCATTGGTTTTATCTGCAGTTCTGAACAACCAGCATCAATTAGGGTTCCCATACCTCTCCTTGGGTTCAACTAATGTACTCAGGGAAAGACAAGTTTTCTGGTTTAGTATAAAGAATGGATACAGGTAAAGAGAGGAACAGGAAGGCCCACGGGGAGTTGAGGAGCTCCAGTGCCATGTGCTTAGCTTTGGGCCATGTGCTTTCCATAGCTTTCTGGGCCATCCTTTTGGGGTTTTATGGAGTCTCCACACATAGCATCGATAGCCAGGGAAAATGTGACTGTACAATATGAGTGTGATCTGGGTCAGCAGAACAATCCAGCAAGGCCTGTCTAGACAGCATTCCTTCCTACTGGATACCAGTAACAAGTTCAGGGAAGGGCCTCACCTGGGGCAGTCTTTGATCTGCTGTCAGAGCTGGGGTGCAGCTCCATATGGACAGCTGGCCTAAACCTCACAGGGCCCTGGGGGTCCATCCCCAGCACACAAAAGAAGAAGGAAATTATGGTCATGTCTAAGGCAGAATATAGGGGAAAAGTCTAAGATATGCTCTTAATTTGCATGGCTCACTTTAAAGGAAAAGAATTGTAGCGTCTACAGCCTGCCTTAGAGAGAAAAAAAAGGGCAGGAAAAAGGAGGCTGAGAGAGAGAGAGAGAGAGAGAGAGAGAGAGAGATTCTTTATTTCTGAGGCCTAACTTGTTCTTAATATTATAGCAAAAGACTGCTCTGAACTGATTTCTAACCTGTGCTCAGAATCAAAACCAAAATGTTAAGAGTTTTAACCTTAGGGTATCATGACCAAAACCCAAACATCAAACTATCACAGAGAGGCAAGACAAAGCAAATGCTAGTAGAAGCTGGAAAAGGGAGACAATAGATGTCCTTAAAACTGCCAGAAAGGATTCTGGGACCCCAGTAGCTCATATCTATAATCCTAGGTACTCAGGAGGCTGAGATATAAGGATAGAGGACTGCGGTTCCAAGTAAGATTTCCAGCCCAGGCAGGAAAGTCTGAGATTCTTATCTCCAATTAAAGACCAAAAAGTTGGAAGTGGAGCCCATAGCCCAAGTGGTAGAGCACCTTGAGCAAAAAAGCTAAAGGACAGTACTCAGGGTCCTGAGTTCAAGGCCCAGGACTGGCACTGGAAAAAAAAAATGAATAATTTGATATGGGAACTTTATCCCAACAAATTCATTCTTTCATGGTGAAGACTGAGAAAGTTACTTTAAAAAAACAAAACAACTTTGCCTTGTTTTCCCTCAATGAACTGAATTTCTAGGTAAGCATATAAGCTTAGCTGATGAGGCAAATTCTTGTTTCTAGAAGAATTCCAGGAATGGGGAAAGAATAATAGAATCAGAAATGCAGTGAAATCGTTGACTCCAAAGAAGATCTTCAAAGCCAGGTGTGGTGCTCCCACCTGGAATTTTAGCTACTGAGGACCTGAGGATCTTGGTTCCAAGCTAGCTCAGGTGGACAAACCCAAGAGACTCTATCTCCAGAACCACCAAAAATCCAGTAGTGGAGTTTGGCTCAGGGGGTAAAGCACCACCAGCCTTGTGTGGAATAACGCTGTAGAAGAATGCCCAGGCCCTGAGTTCAAGCCCCAGGACCAACACACACACACACACACACACACACACACACACACGCACGCACACTTTAGGGTAAAGATTGGTGTAAATATGACCAAGTATGCAATGAACTTCGGGCTGGGCCAGGCCATGGTAAGCATTGAACAAACACGTGGAAACTGTTACTGTTCTAGTTGGGACAGGAAACCGAGGCAGGATTATAACGGGGACAATTCTAAGAATAGAAGTACTGAATTGTAGAACTTTCCCCCCTCTTTGGCGGTTCTGCGGTTTGAACTCACGACCACGCTCTCCTTAGGTAGGCGCTCCACCACTTGGGCCACGCCCCCAGCCTAGAAGGTTGAACTTTTGGATAGCCAAGCGCAAGCGCCAATCTGCTGTGGCACGCCGGGCGCGAGCTCTGCGCATGCGCCGGAAGTCGCAGCTGGGAAGCCGGCGAGGTCGGTTCCGCCCGACTCTAACATGGCGGCGCCCTTTGTCTGCTCTGAAGTGCTGTCGCCGGCCTTCTCGCGGCCCTGATGCACCTCCCTCTGCGGCCGGGTTCGGGACATGGCAGGTGAGGGTCGGCCAGCTCCGCGGTCCGGCGGAGTCGCGGGGGCCGGGACCGAGGCGCCGGAGGATGGGGCGCGACGGGACGCCGTGGACGGTTGTGTGGGGGAGGGGAGGGAGGTGGAACGGGACGGGAACCGGGGCCCGGGGGCACCGCGGGGCGGCCGGGCGGCGGCGGGGCGGCCGGGCCGGGAGCGGGCGGCCGGGCCGGCCCCTCGGCGCGGCGCGGGGCGCTCGCGTCGCCTCCCGGGCCGGTGACACCTCGGCGGGCCGCCCCTCCGCCCCCGCCGCGGGCTGTCACCGCCCCCTGACCCCGCGCGCCGCGGCGGGTGGGCGCTCCGCCGCCGCGAGGGGGCGCCGGGCCGGGCCGCCGCGGGCCGCCGCGGGGCGGGCGCGGGCCGCCCGGGCCTCGGAGGTGGCAGCCCGGCTCCCGGGTGCGGTGCTTCATTCATTCGCTCGCTCTTGTCGCCGCGGGCCCTGCTCGGTGCTGCGGCGGGGAAGAAGTGAGGCCGGCGCGGTCCCGGGGTTAGAGCGAGCCCGCTTCCCGCCTCCCTGCCCGGTCTCCAAGCCAGCACTCCACGCTCGCCCGCCCGCGACTCCGGACCCTTAGGACCGGAGGTGTGGCTCAAGCAGTAGAGCCCCGGCCAAGCAAGCATGGTAACCAGACTTCAAACTCCAGTACCGCTCCCTCTCCCACCCCCCACAAAAACAGCGCAGATGATAACAAATCTGCCTCCTGAGAGGGTTGAGGATAAACTGAGGTCATAGGTGGAAAATGCCCACAACACTTAGGGCTGCCTAGTGAAGGCTGTGTAAGTGTTGCTGTTGCCAATTTAAGTGATCAATACAACCACTACCACCCAGAGCAGGAGACATAAAGGTCCCCACTGGGCTAAAAGGACTGTCCAGGCTCTGGAAACACAAACTAGATAGATCTCGCTCAATCTCTAGGTGAATGCAGAGACTTCTGTTCCCTAGAAGACTGATAAAAATGCTTAGCTGGATGCAGGTGGCTCATGCCTGTAATCCTACTTACTGAAGAAGCTGAAATCTGAGGATTGAGGCTACAAGCCAGAGCAAGAAAGTCAGTGAGACTTTTTTTTTTTTTTTTGTCGGTCGTGGGGCTTGAACTCTGGGCCTGGGCTCTGTCCCTCAGCTCTTCAGCTCAAGGCGAGTGCTCTACCACTTGAGCTACAGCGCCACTTCCGGTTTTTCTGGTGGTTTATTGGAGATAGGAGTCTCACGGTCTCTCCTGCCCGGGCTGGCTTTGAACCGCGATCATCAGATCTCAGCCTCCTGAGTAGCTAGGATTACAGGCATGAGCCACCAGCGCCCGGCTGCGCCACTTCCAGCTTTTTTTCTTTTTTCTTATGTGGTGCTGAGGAGTAGAACCCAGGGCCTCGAACATGCAAGGCAAGTGCTCTACCACTGAGCCACCTTCCCAGTCCCAAGTGAGACTTTTTTTTTGGTCGTCTCTTTGTGGGACTTGAACTCTGCTTGTCCCTGAGCTAGTTTTGCTCCAGGTTAGTGTTCTACCACTTAGAGCCACAGCTCCACTTCCAGTTTTCTGGTGGTTAATTGGACATAAGAGGCTCACAGACTTTCCTGCCCAGGCTGGTTTGGAACCTCAATCCTCAGATCTCAGCCTCCAGAGTAGCTAGGATTACGGGTGTGAGCCACCAGCACCAGGCTAGTTCAGCTTTGTGATTTTTGCTGATCGACATTGTACCTTGTCTTTCATCAGGCTTGAGTTCCAGTTGGGACTGAGACTGAGTTTTTCTCCTTGTGTCCCCTGTGTGGCAAGTTGTCTGTCATGCAGCAGGCCAATGATAATACAGTCTAGCATGTATTGAGCATTTAACTTTGTGCCAGACTCTATGCCAGATACTCTGCATTTGCCTGTGAATGAAAAAGCTCTTAGGAAGCCAAGTAGGACCCTTGCAAAGTTCTCACCAGAGTTTTTACTTGGGTATCTTTATTCAGGTAATGAGCTGGAGGAAGGGAGCCAAGCTGGAGTTTCTGCAGACAAACTGTCAGAGAAGAATAGCCCGGGCGATTTGGAAGTCTGAGGTATGTCTGTAACACTTAAGAGTGGAACATTGAAGTGAGTTTTGTCATCCTCTAGACTCAGTAGCATTCCAGTAACCTTTTCTTCTCCTCCTCCCCTCACTTGTCTTCTTCCACCCCTCTTTTTCAGTATTGAGGATTGAACTAAGTCACACTAGTTAAAAAGCACTCTGACACTTGAGTCCTAGCCCTTCTGCATTTTAGTTTGTTTTTTCAGAGAGACTCTCTAACTTTGCCCAGGCTGGCCTCTAGCCATAGTCCTCCCTCTACTTCCCACCATGCTTGGCTTCTTTTTGAGATAGGTGTCACTAAAGTTTGCCTGGGCTGACCTCTTGTCTATGCCTCTGGAGTGGAAAGGATTATAGGCTTGGGATATCACACCCAGCCTCAAATAATTCTTTCAAGTTAGCTTTTTCTTTAAAATCACTAATGACGGGCTTGGAATGTGGCTTAGTGGTAGAGTGCTTGCCTGGCATGCATGAAGCCCTGGGTTCGATTCCTCAGTACCACATACACAGAAAAAGCCATAAGTGTAGAGTACAAAGCCTTGAGCAAAAAAGATGCTCCGGGACAATGCCCCGGCCCTGAGTTCAAGCTCCAGGACTGGGGGGTTGGGAATGGAGGGGTCAGGGGGGAGGGAGAATCACTAATGACATCCTCATTACAATTTGATTGGGAGATTGTTGATACTACTTGGTACTACTTCTACCTCCTCCCCACACAGTGGATTATTTACTGTGCCTGCTTACATCTCTTTGTTTGGTGCAATCTGAAATGCTCTAACCAGCTGGGGGCTAGGGGTTCAGGCTTAAAAATCCTAGGTATCAGGATGCTCAGATCTTAGGATCATGGTTCAAAACCAACCCAGACAAGAAAGTCTATCAGATTCTTAGTGAGACTCATCCCAGAAAACCAGAAGTGGAGCTGTAGCTTAAAGTGGTAGAGCGCTAGCCTTGATCATTTAAAACCTCAGGGACAGCACCCAGGCCCCTGAGTTCAAGCCCCATAACTGACAAAAATAAATAAAATGCTCTAACAAGGATGGGGTATAGCTCAGTGATAGAACTCGAGTGTGTGTGTGTGTGTGTGTGTGTGTGTGTGTGTGTGTGTGTGTGTACACGTGTACGTGTACATGTGTACATATACCTGTACTTGGGTTTGAACTAAGGGCATGATACTCCCCTTAGCTTTTTTTGCTCTGGTCTGGTGCTCTACTGCATGAGCCACAGTTTCACTTCCTTCCAGCTCTTTGTTGGTTAATTGGAGATAAGAACCAGCCAGGTCTGGCTTTGAACCTCAATTCTCAGATCTCAGTCTCCTCGGTAGGCAAGATTACAGGCACAAGCCATGGTTCAGTAGTAGAGCTCTTGTACAAGGCCCTCAGTTTGATCCCCAGAACTGCAAATAAATTAAATAAAATGCTCCAATAAGCAGTCACAAATATTATAGCTGAAGTAAAATAGTAGTTTTATTCGCCCTCCTCTAACAGTGTAGAAGTATACAATCCAATACTGGTAAAGCAGGTCACTTTACCATGAGGCCTCGCTGGATACAGTACTTCTTTAATCACATGGCTCTTGCTCAAACCCAGGCATCCATTTCATGGTCCAAGATGGCTGTTCCAGGTCCTGCCATCATGTATGAATTCCATGTGGCAAAAAAGGGAAAGATAGTAGGGAGTACATGCTCATTCCTTTTAAGGTTTGAAAGTTTAAAGAGACATATTTTTGTATTGCGTGGTCACCAAACATAAGCTAGTTATTGCCTCTGGTATGTACCCAGAAAATGAGTCATGTCTCTTCAGTGCTGGAAGAAAAACCAGCTGAGAGATGGGATCACTGAGGTGGGCTGGACCTGGCAGGAAGTCCACTGAACTGGTAAGGGAGGGAGGGAATATGGATGGATGGATGGATGGACGGATGGATGGACATACAGATTCACTCACTCAGTGTCACCCGCTTACTCGTGGCCAGGCTTCTATCTCTGCATGTCAGGCTGCTGTGGCTTTTAGCAGGTTTACGATGCTTGGATTAGAGGGCTTAGGCTTGTTCATACATGTAGTGTGGACTGTGTCTGCTGTGTGTCACACGAGGCTTTGTCAGGAGCACAGTCCTGCATAAGATTGGGTCCCAGGAGCAAGGTGCTCCTAGCCACATGGATAACCACATGCCATGCAGAAACACCATCAAAGCTAAGAGTGTGAGGCCACCTGGGAGCCTGACCAGCTGATGCTGCAGGAGTCCTGGGCGCTTGGAAAAGACCAGGTGGCCCGTTCCAAACAGTTAGGGAATCTTCAGTTTATACTTCAACCAACAAACAGTTCTGTCTGTGTCACATACTGAAAAAAACAGTTGTTAAATTTTCACTGCACTGATGAGAGTAACTCATATTCGGGTTTTTTTTTGTGTTTTTGTTTTTTGTGCCAGTCTTGGGGCTTGGGCACTGACCCTGACCTTTTCTTTTTTTCCTTAAACTTTGTGTGTCAAGGTGACCTGGTGTTGGGTGTTGTTCCTCACAGCAGGGAGCTCCAACCCTTAAAACCTAAAGGTCTAGGTGTGTTTTGACACAGACACATTGTTCTGAAAATTGTAGTGATCAACCCAAGAGTAAAACTGTTGGTATGTAGTGATCTGAGCATATGGGGCATGTGTGTGTGTGGCATGTCAGCATGTGCTTGGCACGATCCTAATGAGTGTCTGTAGCAAGCTGAACCATCCCAGGGCCATTAAAGCTGACCTCAATCCTGTCATTGGCCTTGACATATGAAAAACCAGGGCTTACTCTTGTTCTGCATGGGAGACAAACGTGGTTCTCAAGCTTAGTAAGGAAGCAGCAAAGTGCAAAGTGAGAGTTGGGAATCTCTTTTTCCATCCAGATCACAACAGGGACAGAGGCCCAGCCGTGGGAATCCAGCAGACAGGGAGAGACAGGCCAAAAAGCTGTCCTGGGGGGCTCATGGTCACATTCGGCATATGCCAGCTTCTGGTCCTGAAAGGTCTGGGGGTAGAGTCTACTTCCTGTGCTAGAACTGTCAGTAAGGGTCATTGTTCTGTCCTAGGTGAAGGCTCTGCTCCAGGCTTACTGCCCGGCCTGGGGGGAGCTGGGTCTCGCTAGCTCAGAAGGCAGAGAGCAGAGAGGACACTGCAGTGGGCCTTTCCAGTCCCCTGTTGCTCCATAAGCTGCCCTTGCTCTCCAGTTTCCATGCAGAATAATCTTCAGAAGGAAGAACAAGCAGACATGCCCCCATCCCTCCACCACCCAGCTTATAAAAATGCTACCCTGACCTGCAGGCCATCCATCACCCTGCCATCATGAGCTTTCCTTCATCTGTCCTTCTCTTTCTTTCCTTGGAGTAGTTTTACTACAGCTGTGTTGCTAAACTATGTGTCTTTAACTTTGTACATTTTGTGTGTGTGTGTGTTTGAACTGTTATTTGAACTAGAGGCCTTGATGTTACTCCTTAATGAAGGCTGATGCTTTACCACTTGAGCCACACCTCCACTTCCAGCTTTTTGCTGGTTAATTGGAGATAAGAGTCTCATGGATCTTCCTGTCTGGGCTGTCTTTCAACAGTGATCCTCATATCTCAGCTTCCTGAGTAACTGAGATTATAGGCCTAAGCCACCTGTGTCCAGCTCTGGCTGTACAGTTTTTGAATTTAATATAAATGTAATACTGTGTTCTGCAGTGACTTAGATTTTTTGCTTAATGTATGTTCTTGAGCTAGTCCACATCTGCTTCATTTTCACTGATGGAAATGTCCCTATCATCTTGGTGGCCATTTGGATTGTTTGCAGACTGTGCTGCCATACTGGGGTGCATATGTGGTTTCAGGGTACATACCTGGGGTGAACTGAGTCACAGGGTATCTGACCAAATGCACATTGTTTCAAAAGTTGTTTCGTGAGATTATACATCAACCAGTATGTGTCTGTGTCACATACTGAAAAGTTATTAAAATTTTTACTGCATTGATGAGAGTAGCTTATATTGGTTGTTTTTTTTTTAACTCATTTTTGTTTTTTTGTGGGGCTTGAACTCAGGGCCTGGGCCCTGACCCTGAGCTTTTCTTTTTTTCCTCAAGGCTAGCACTCTACTACTTGAGTCACAGCTCTACTTCTGGCGTTTAGGTGGTTGAATGAAGATAAAAGTCTCCTGGACTTTCCTGCCCAGGCTGGCTTTAAATCACAATGCTCAAATCTCAGCATTCTGAGTAGCTAGGTTTACAGGTGTGAGCTACTGACACTAGGCTTTTGTTGGTTTTTTATTTTGGAGACTGACTTTTGTACAGAATATATGGCAACTATTTATTTCCAACTTTTGGTCTATTTTCCTTTAGGGTTTTAGGCTTTAAAAGAAATTAATGGTTTTTTAAAAAAGTGTATTATTTTAAAGATGATATACAGAGGGATTACAGTTATATGAGTCAGGTTATGAGTCAGGTTATGAGTATATTTCCTTTTATATAATGTCTTCCCTTCCCTCACTCTCTCCCAGTTCCTCCACCCATGAGTTATATAGTTCACTTTCATCACTGTCCAATGATCACTGGTGTTGCACTTTTTTGGTCAATTTCTGTACCCTCCTCCCCACCCTCCAGGAATTCTAAATTTTTTGTGCCTGTCATGGGGCTTGGACTCAGGGCCTGGGCGCTGTCTCTGAGCTTCTTTTGCTCAAGGCTAGCACTCTATCACTTGAGCCACAGCACCACTTTAGGCCACATTCCCAGCCCCAGGAATTCTAAATTTTAATTTAATTTATCAATTTATCAATTATTTTTATTTTATAGGTGACACTTTAAGAACTTCCTCCCAGAGCTGGGAAGGTGTCTCAGTGGTAGATTGCTTGCCTAGCATACATGAAGCCCTGGGTTTGGTTCCTTGGCACCACATAAACAGAAAAAGCTGGAAGTGGTGCTGTGGCTCAAAGGGTAGAGTGCTAGTCTTGAGCAAAAGAAGTTCAGAACTTCTTCCCTATATGTATATGTATATTGTCTTGTGAAC